AAACACACTGGCATAGGTACTAGTGATCAAAATTCAACTCTCTGAAAGACTGGAAGAAGGGGTCTTCGCTTGACCAGACCCTGTGGCGGGCACTCACCCCCTCATCTGCCACATGTGTACTCACACTCTATTGTGATTAAAGAGAAGAATGACAGAAGACATTGATTTACTCTCATTCTATATTTAATGGTGTTTGGTTGGGTCATGTAATGAACTCTTCAGTGTGACAGACCACGCCTTAGGTCAGATACAGCTGTGTCACAGGCCTCTTCTCAGATCTGTTTCAGATTCGTTTAGGATATCATTGCTCATTCTTTACAGGTTCTTCGTTAAAAACAACTTTGGGGGGAGAAAGTTCTTCAAGGGACCAGTTAGCATAATGGCTATGTTGCTGGAGTCCCACACAGTCGACCGCGGTTCGCGTCCCAGACCCGGTGGTTTAAACTCATGCCGGGTGCGTGTGCGTGCGTGCCAAAGATACCGAGAGGAGAATGGAGGAGAAGGGATTGCAGCGTGGCCATCCCCCCTGGGGGTGATTTCTCGCTTTCTGTCTCTCTGTCTCTCTCTGTCTGGTGAGTGCACGCGCCCTATAGCGAAAACCTCTCCAAAAAAAAAAAAAAAAAAAAAGCTCTTCAAAAGATACTATCCTAGAAGGAGCAAAGAGACACCACCGAGAACTGTTACTGAGTGGTGGTTACCAGCTTACAGCCTAAGCAGGCCTTGGTAGCTGATTTCCTAACTGTCCTCTGGATTCTTGTCTTTATTCAAGTCACATTTCCTTTTTAGTCTTTTTATCTCCTTTTGTTATCCTGTACATTATCACCATTAGTTTTTATGTTGCATTTCACAGTTACGGGTTTTTTTTGTCCATGACTGAGAGAGGCGGACAGAGAGCTAACCTTTGTAACTGGGCCTTTAGACCACGATGCACCCCCGCCTTCAACCAGCCTTGAATCATGAGCACACGTGTGGCTGGCATGCTCAGAGAGGTCCCTGGATGCCAACCCAGAACCTTCCCATGTGGGTCAGCCTTACAGAATGTGGCGTTTTCAACTGTGCCACCGTCCTGCCACCGTTTTCTGTTTATGGTTGCAGCCTTTGGCTCTAGTTGCAGTCTTGTCTGCTCGTCGTTCACCGAGCACCGTTCACTGGTCAGGGTCAGTTTCTTTGGCTTTGTTTTGGTGCTTGTGTTTCTTGCTGGTGTCTCAGCTGTCCTTCAAATTCACTTTCAGCCCTTGTTCATCGTCTGCCTCCTGTACCATCAGGGGACCCTCTTCAGTAATTCTGGTCCAGGTGGATTCTCATTTTTACAGAAACATTAAATCGATTTCCTGGGGTATGTCTCCCTGATGGGTAGATGAAGTTGTATTGAGTTATAGTCAGCTTACAGCTTATCTTCATCGATTTTTTTTTCTTCTTTTGGTAATTACTGGACTGTTCCTAAACTAAAATCAAAGCCAGCAAACCTAGTGTGAGTGCCGTTGGCGAGACTGACATTGTTTGTCCTTTTCCTGCCACTGATGGGCCAAGAGGAGACTGTCCTGTCTGCCAGTTGGCATGCTGTCTAGAAAGTGCACTGTAAAACACTGTTTCCACTTCTCACCCCCCGCTTTATTGTGGGGGTTTCTCACTTTGCAGCCAGGTCCAGAGAATTTCTCAATTGACACCCGTGTGCCTGCCCCCTAGGTTCTGCCGTTAATATGGAACATGGCTTTATCACGTACCCTCCTTCTGTCATCAGCCCGTCTTGGATTTTCTGTGCACTTCAGAGTTAATCCTTGATATCAGCAAACTTCCCCTCCCCTACATGAGACCGTTTTTAAAAGATCGTTATCAAGTCATGTAGGGTAAACTCTGGCCTTCCAAATGTGATTTAATCCATGTAACTATTTTTATTTATTACTATTTTGTTTTGTTTTTGCTATCAGGGTGCATGTGTTGAACAGGAAGAGACAGACTGAGGGCAAGTGAGAAGTCACCCTCAAGGGGGATGGCCACACCACAATCTCTTCTCCGTTGTCCTGGGATTTTGAGTACACGCATACATGTGCCCAACCTGACTTTCAAGCCGCCAGGTCTGGGACTTGAACCACAGTTGATCATGTGGAAATCTAGCACCTTAACCACCATGCTATCTGCTGGCCTTTCATAGAACACTTATTCATGGCACTGTCTCAATAATTCAGTAATACAAATAGAACAAAAATGTAAGTTTTAATTGAGGTTTCCTAGTAAATGTGTCATTTAATCTTATTATAACCAAGTAAGAAAGGCATACATCTACTTTAAAAAATTAATATGTTATAAAGTACTTTGTTTTTTGAGTGGGAAGAAGTCAGTGGAATCTGGGCAAATGGTAGGAATTCAGCTATAATTCCTTTTCTAAAAAGTTTGGTTCTGAACATTAGCTAAGGCGTCACTGAAATTACTTAGTGGGAGAAATCCCATCCTCCGCCCCACTCCTCACTTTCTTTTTCCTTTTTTCTTCCCTTTCCTGATACTTGAGAAAAGGGGTGTGTGTGTGTGTGTGTGTGTGCGCGCGTGTATGCGCGTGTATGCGTGTGTGTGTGCGCGTGTTTGGTATTCATTTAATTGCTGAGAGGAAGGAGAGATGAGGAGGCCGAGTAATTAGCGGGAAACGTCATTGGAAGGTAGAACAAACAGACTCTAAATTAAAAGTTGGCAAACTTTTCTTTTGTAAAGGGCCAAATGACATTTTAGGCTTTGTAGGCCGAACGTCTCAGTGAAAATGACCAACTCTGCTCCTGTAATGTGAGAATAGACATAAACACACCCCCCACACTTGTCTGTGTTCCAGTGAAGCTTATGGGCACTGAGTTTTGAACTCTTGAAATTTATTTTATTCCATGATTTTTTTATTCACATTTGTTTTTTTTGTTGTTGTTGTTGTTGTTTTTTCTTTTTGAGAGATTTTGCTATAGGGTGTGTGTGCTCGCAAGATAGAGACAGACAGACAGAGAGAAAAAGCTAGAAACCACCCCCCAGGGGGATGGCCACGGCGCAATCCCTTCTCCTCCAGTCTCTTCTCGGGATCTTGGGCATGCACGCGCACACACACGCCCAGCGTGAGTTTTAAGCCAATGGGTCTGGGGCGTGAACTGCGTAACTACATGGGAGTCCAGCAACATAGCCATTACGCTAACTGCTGGGCCCCACATTTAATTGTTGTACATCTCTGTAGCATACACTATTTTTTAAAAGTATACATGTAGTATGTGACAATCAAATCAAAGATATTGCCATGTACCTCATCTCAGGGAAGAACCTTCCACTCACGTGCCTGTCCGTGTGCCCGAGTCCCTCCCGCCCCGTGCTGGGCACCCTCTCCTGCAGCAGCTCTGCTCCCTGGACGAGTTCCCCACTGCTGTATCCTCAGATAGGTCCATGTCTGCCAGAGTGCAGACATGCGCTGTAGACTGAGCAGGGTTGCAGTGTTGGTCATCGGCTGGCGTGATTTGCTCAGCATTACATCTCTGTACTCGCCCCTGATGTAACTTTAACATGCCACTTTCATGTACCGCGTAGTGACACATCTGGAATATTTCCATTTTCAGGAGTGCAGCTGTTTACCTGCGTTTAGTATACAGTACTTTTAAAGTTATGTCCATGTAATTTTAAAGTGTGTTCTGTGGGGTTTTCTTTTTCCTGTACTTGCATGATGAGAGTGATATATTTGCATGGAATACTTGAAAAACACAAGCACCAGAATGAATGGATCATGCTTGACTTGTCACCCTTTGTTGTCTACTTTGATAGCGAAGTCACAGTCCTCCTCCTGAGTCAGAGCAGACTCCTCAGTGTGCCCGATCTGTGTGTTTGCTGCCGTGGTAGTGTGGCTTCTCATGACTAACAAGACACAGGCTCCAGGGCCCTGGCAGGTTAGCCCCACCTGTTAGGGACAGTTCATAGGGACATTTTGAAATTTTGAAATTAAATTAGGTGAATTATTTTTTCATTTAGTTTTGATTCTTTGTAGCTTTTATCCTCAAGCTTATGAATTTGCGACCAGCAGGAAGAAGGATAACAGCTCTTTAGCCTAGCAGACTGTTCTGTTTAAATTATGGTACTTCTTATTGGTTCTTAGAAAAAGGGCATTTTAGAGTTAGATGAGCCGTAGAAATAGGTGATGTTGCCCAGCTCTTTACTCGATGAGGTGACTCCTTCCTCAGTGTTCTTGGCGGTCGCAGTGGGACATCCGTCTTTGTACTTGAGGTTCACAGAGTAGTTGGGATACAAGGTTTTGCCTTCATGTAACTTAAATATCCCATGTCCCTGTGATACAGAATTAATGAGGAAGTTCAGTGACAAGCTTTGGGTTCAAGATTACGTACATTAGAATCAAGTTATAGAACACAAGCTTTGGATATTTCACTTACAAATTCATTTTTAAAATCTCCCGCATGGTTTATAATCAAGAAAAAATAGTTTTTTTATAGATAGAAATTTTGTGCTAACTGCAAGTTGTTTACAAACTGTTGAAAGGGTGAATATATTGGGTCGTCACAAAAGTCATAGAAAAACATTTTTATAATATGTCGTGAATTTTCTAGGGACCCAATATAAGGGAAACCGAGTTGATGCCTTTAGTAGACTTAATGCTTAATACTAATTAGTTTAATGCTGATCTTTAAAGTGATAAGGTAGTAGCACTCAGCCATAAACCTTACGATTTTCCGGGTGTCCTGAAGGATTTACACGCACACACACACCGACAGATCAGCAGTACGGTTGGGTCTGCTGTGGACCGTGTCAGAAGTGGGGCCTGCAGTGCCGTTCCTGCTGTCTCACAGTGTCTCAGGTGCTTCACCGGTCTAAGGGTGTGGGTACACACTGGGCCTCTGCCTTCTCCACCCCGGTCTACTCCGGTTTCATCCGGTGCTTGACTAACCTGCCTCGGCGACCCGCGGGGCGGAGTGTTGTGGTGCTGTACCTGAGAGCTGTACTAACCCTGGTGCTTATTGTTTGGGTGTCCGGTACAGGAAGCGAGCAGCTGCGAAGCATCTAATAGAACGCTACTACCACCAGTTAACCGAGGGCTGTGGGAATGAGGCCTGCACGAATGAGTTCTGTGCTTCCTGCCCGACGTTTCTTCGTATGGATAACAATGCAGCAGCTATTAAAGCCCTCGAGCTTTATAAGATTAATGCAAAACTCTGTGATCCTCATCCCTCCAAGAAAGGAGCAAGCTCCGCTTACCTCGAAAACTCAAAAGGTGTCCCTAACAACTCCTGCTCTGAGATAAAGATGAACAAGAAGGAAGGACATGGGGCAAGAGTCGATTTTAAAGGTAAAATGTTTTTATTTTTAAATAATTATTTATTTATTGTTATTCAGTTTGACCAGAGAGAGAGAGAGAGAAAGCGAGTCACCAGATCCAGGACTCCAGCTGGGATTGGTCATGTGGGAGTCCAACACCGTAACCACTGAGCCGCCTGCCAGCACTGGAATGTTCTGTTTTAACTGAGAGTTGTCGACCAAAAACCATAACCTCTTGAAATGCATTTAATTTTTGTTTCGTGTTATTATAATGACATCAAGCTGTCATTGCTTGGCGAAGCCAGCGTTTTATTTTGGTGACAGAAATAATAATTAAATTAATGACTAAGACACATTATTTACCTATATGCCTGAAAATTGTGCGTGTGTTTTTGTTTTATTTTTTTAAGAGTTAGGGCCCAAGGTTGGCAGGTGGTGTGGTGGTTAAGGGTGCTGGACTCTCACATGGCCAACTGCTGTTCGAGTCCCAGACCTGGTGGCTTACCTTTTCACTTTCTCTCTCTGTCTCTCTCTCTCTCCCTCCCTGGTTGAATTTTTTTAAAAGCAAATAAATAAATAAAGTTAAATAATAAAATTCTTCTTTAAGAAATAAAAAAAGAGGAGTTAGGGCCCATAAAATGAGCTGTAGAGGAACCAGCAGATGGCATAATAGTTACGTTGCTGAAGTCCCACGTAGTCGACCGTGGTTCGAGTCCTCGACCTGGCGACTTAAAACTCAAGCTGGGCGCACATGCATGTGCACACAAAATCCGGAGAGGAGAATGGAAGAGAGGGGATTACAACATGACCATCCCCCCTAAGGGGTGATTTCTTGCCTTCTGTCTCTCTGTCTCTTCAGCAAGTGCATGTGCCCTGTAGTAAAAAAATCTCTAAGAAAGATGAACTATACAGGTGTCGACAGATAAGACTTGTGGTGTAATAAAACTTGACATTTTTATGGGGCGTTAATGCAGTAACGTGCATTTTATATTGTCCTTTACTGTGAAACATACGTTATAGCAGAAATTGGAATCACTAAAAGTTTTGAGTGTTACGCAGTTCCCTGTTTGAGGGCATATTTGGCATAAAGACAGTAGGATTGTCTACATGGCTATAAACCCTCTGCTTAAGATTTGATCTAATAATGACAAGTTTGTCACTTTGCTGAAAAGATAGATGAAGGCTGTTCTCGGGAATATGTTGTTGGACCCGTGTAATCCCTAGAAAGCCGAAACGCTGACTAGATTATTTATTGCCGTACCCCCTCCCCAGTATAAAATACTCTTCATCTTGTTAGCCAGAAAGGAAGTCCGTGGCCTGAAAGGTAACACTCACCTCAGAAAGCTGGGAAATGTGACTCGGCTCTGTGCCCAAGGAGAGGGACTAGGTTTGGTGACTCCATCGTCTCTGCTTTCCTGGTCTCCTCTCAAGTTACCTCCTTCCCAGTGTCCGTGCACAGAAGCCATTTCCTGCCGCTGTAAACTTCGTTCTAATCCGATTCTTGGTTGCAGATGGCAGTTTCAGCTTTAGAGATGATGAGACGTGGTATATTCTTCTCAGTCACTCACAAAATAGCCACCCTAGAACAAGCTAGGAAGACCTGAAAGGAAAAAGAGCTGTTTCTAAAAGAATAAAAAGAACCTTTCTTAAAATTCCACTTTCTTAGTCTTTTGAAAACAGGATAATGAAATCAGAAAGGAATCTCTCAGAAGAATAGTGTTCCACTCTTCAGTGAGGTCGTAAAAGGTATACCATGTTGGGGCTGGCAGGTGGCGTAGTGGTTAAGTCACTGGACTCCCACTTGGGTGACCATGGTTCGCATCCTGGACATGGTGGCTTGTGTTCTCTCTCTCTCTCCCTCTCTCTCATTGGTCAAATTGAAGAAGAAGAAATAAAATTAAACAATTTTTAAAAATAAAGTTTATTTCCAAGAAATACATTTTTTGGTGACCAGTCAGACCAGATATGTCAGTTTATATGTACAATTAAATACCCTGTTATTTTCTGTCTGTTTTTGCTGGAGAGAGATGGGGTAGGGGAGTGAGAAATCATCCCCCCAGGGGAGATGGCCACATTGCAACCCCTTCTCCACCCACTGAGGATTTGGGGCACATGTGCACCTGCGCCCGGTGTAATTTTCAAGCCACTGAGTCCAGGACTCTTAACTGCTGACTCGACTGTGTGGGATCCGGCCACCTTCACCACTACACCACCTGGCTGGGCCCATGCCCTTATTTTTAAAGAGTGTTTGAACTGTCATAACTTAATTAAAAGGTAAAAAGAATGGGTAAGGTCATTGGTATTAGTGTTTCCTTGAAAATAAATAATAGGTTATGCCAGCAGGTGTCTTGGTGGTTGGGGCAATGGACTCCCACATGGCTGACCATGGTTCAAATCTTGGACCTGGTGGCTTGTTTTCTCACATTCTCTCTCTCTCGTCAAATTAAAAAATAATAAATAAAATAATGAGAAAAAAAAGACAAGAGATAATATATAAGCATAACATTAGGTCATTGAAAAAGTCAACACAATTTTGCATAGAAGAATATGACAGGACTTTCCCAACAACTTGATATTTTGCTTTCTGAATCTGCATATTAGTTTTCTTTGCAAGAATTTTAAATTGTAGATATTTATCCAGTATGTGTGATTATTTCTATTTTCACTAGAACTTAACTACAGTGAGGTAAACATATTCGTGTACCATGAAAATAAATGATTTTTTTTTCCCTCTTAATTTTCTAGATGTGACTTACCTAACAGAAGAGAAGGTATATGAAATCCTTGAATTATGTAGAGAGAGAGAGAGAGGATTATTCCCCTTTAATCCGTGTCATTGGAAGAGTTTTTCTTAGCGCAGAGGCATTGGTACAGAGCTTTCGGAAAGTCAAACAGCACACTAAGGGAGAACTGAAATCTCTTCAAGGAAAGGATGAAGACAAGGATGAAGATGAAAAGGAAAAAGCTGCATGTTCTGCTGCTGCCACGGAAGATGACTCGGAAGCGTCTTCGTCACAGATAGGCGATTCCTCCCAGGGAGACAGCAGTGCACAGAAACTGGGCCCTGACGATGTTTCTGTGGACATCGAGGCCATTAGAAGGGTCTACACGAGATTGCTGTCCAATGAGAAAATCGAAACTGCCTTTCTCAACGCACTTGTGTATTTGTCACCTAATGTGGAATGTGACTTGACCTATCACAATGTGTACTCCAGAGATCCTAATTACCTGAATTTGTTCATTATTGTAATGGAGAATAGAAATCTCCACAGTCCTGAATACCTGGAAATGGCTTTGCCATTATTTTGCAAAGCAATGAGCAAGCTGCCCCTTGCCGCCCAAGGAAAACTGATTAGACTGTGGTCTAAATACAGTGCAGACCAGATTCGGAGAATGATGGAGACGTTTCAGCAGCTTATTACTTACAAAGTCATAAGCAACGAGTTCAACAGCCGAAACCTAGTGAATGACGACGATGCCATTGTTGCTGCTTCAAAGTGCTTGAAAATGGTTTACTATGCAAACGTGGTGGGAGGGGAAGTGGACACGAACCATAACGAGGAGGATGACGAAGAGCCCATTCCCGAGTCCAGTGAGTTGACACTGCAAGAGCTTTTGGGAGAGGAGAGAAGAAACAAGAAAGGTCCTCGCGTGGACCCACTGGAAACGGAACTCGGTGTTAAAACGCTAGACTGTCGGAAACCACTCATCCCCTTTGAAGAGTTTATTAACGAGCCGCTCAATGATGTTCTAGAAATGGATAAGGATTATACTTTTTTCAAAGTAGAAACAGAGAACAAATTCTCTTTTATGACGTGTCCCTTTATATTAAATGCTGTCACAAAGAATTTGGGATTATATTATGACAATAGAATTCGCATGTACAGTGAACGAAGAATCACTGTTCTCTACAGCTTAGTTCAAGGACAGCAGTTGAATCCATATTTGAGGCTCAAAGTCAGACGTGACCATATCATAGATGATGCGCTTGTCCGGGTAAGTCGGGCTGCCGGTTATCAGTACTGGATTAAAAACGTAATGATGGTGGGTGTTAAGTTGCAGTTCAGTGATTGAAAACAAGTAAGGTGCAATATGTAGGAGCACTTGGAATTTCTGATCTTAAATATAAGCCTTATGCTTTTGTTGCACCGTTTCAAGTTTATAAATGTGTTCTGCAGTGTATTGGTTGTCTTACATCATGATCACTCTTTGTAAAAGAACGGATTTTAAATCTTGAAAACTCGTCCCAAATTGTCTCTGTTCAGAAGAGAAGAGGGTGTTGGGAAAGACTGCAGCACGGGAAGGAGGGGAGGTGTCCAGTAGTACGGAGGGGCGTAAATGCAGCGGGGAAGCCCCACCAGAAAGTTACGGGCAGTACCCACAGACTCCTCCGTGTGCAGTTGCCCGCCCCGTCACGCCGTGCATGCTGCCAGTGAGTCCGGAGTGCTGCTGCTCTGTTGAGAATGCCCCTTGATCGCACTGCCGGCTTGGGGTCTTTTTCCCATTTCAGTCTCCACAGGGCCACTCTGGGTCCTGAGACCTGTGGGAAAGCAGCGACTGCCCCAGGAGCCTGGAGATGAGTGACGCTTGTGTCACGGATGAAGCCCAGTGTGGCGAGCTGGGAGCCTGGGAGCTCAGGTGCCATCTTCTCGCTCCTGTTCCTCCGTCCCTTCACAGAAGAGTCATTCTAGTCCCTCTTTAGGAAAGCAGATCTGGCCAGAAGACAGAAACCAATTAGCAGTCACATTTTCCAAAATGTACGTCCGTTCCAGGTTCACTGCAGGGTTTCCTTGTGTACGCTGCCAGGTAGCCCTCACTGCTGGATCTTGGTCTGCAGCTTCACGTAAATGTCATGTCACGTCAAATTCAGGTACAGTCAAGTTTATGTACTGACACAGGATAGGAACTCGACACACAGAACAGGCATGCTTGCTTTAAATTATAGTTTATGTTTAGAATGGATTTGTCTAAACCAAGAATCCACTGAACTGTAAACCAGTGGGAAGAGCTGTGAGTTACAGAGCACTCGCACCTCTTTTCTTTGTTACTGGTCTTTAAAATGCTGACTCTGTTTGTAGTCGTATTGTCGAAGGAATCTGGGTGATTTAAGCAACGCAGACAGTTTTTCAGGGAAGACAGACGGGCGTTAACTGCCTGAAGTAATTACCGTTGACTGCTTTCTGGTGCCATTTTTATTTAACTTACATCGTTTCGAGCCACATGAAGAATTAATATACTCAGTAAGTGATCATGGGTAACCAGCAGTTTATTTCACATAGTTCAGTATGGTAAGGTATTTTTTAAAAATGTGAGTAATGTTTTCTGCAAAGCATGAAGCCTGTCTCAGTATGTATTTCCGGGTCAGAGCTGCGGATACTGAAAGCACACATCTTATTTTCACTTGTCACGTGGGACCCCTTCTGCCGTCTCCAGCCAAAGCTGTGCCTGGCGTTTAAAAACAATGAAATTACTTCTGTAAGCTTCAGTCAGGAAAAAAATTGTCCACCTCTTTGATCTGACCTCTCAGCAGCCTGCTCAGTCTTCCTGTCTTTCCCTCCCGCTTCTCCTAGTAATGCGGGGCTGAGGACCAGCAAACGCTACATACCGACATGCTTTCTGTTCTTCACAACGCTGTCCTCTTGGATTCTCAGGAAACAAGCGGTTTGGTTTTAAGCAGCCTTCTAAGCAGGTATTAGAGTAAAATTAACAGAGTTTGTAACTACTGCTCACAGATGTTTTCAGGAAGTTCAGCTTAATTATGTCGGAACCCGGTACTGTGGCCTGGCCTGTCATATATCAGGACCCGCTAGGTAACGTGTGTGCCTGAACGGCAGGAGTGTGCAGGAGCCCGTCCCTTCAGAACCCTGTGGGGCCTCGGGGAGCACTGGGCTCAGAGCCGGCGGCTGCTGGGACGCACACATGCAGAGGCCGCTCCTAACTTTTCCTGTTCTCTTTGTAAGTTGGGTTTTTTTTTGGGGGGGGGGGGCAGTTAAACAATGTGAAAGGATTAGAAAAAAAAGAAT